GACCAGCCTGGCCAACATGGCGAAACCCTGTCTCTACTAAAAATACAAAAATTAGCTGGGCATGGTGGCGGGTGCCTGTAATCCCAGCTACTCGGGAGGCTGAGGCAGGAGAATTGCTTGAACATAGGAAGTGGAGGTTGCAGTGAGCTGCCACTGCACTCCAGCCTGGGTGACAGAGCAAGACTCGGTCTCAAAAAAAAAAAAGGAAAAAGAAAGAAAGTTTGGGGTCCTGTAAAATATGATAACACTGATAAATTTAAACACTACAGGAAGTATTGACCCACTGGCTCTATCAGTGATTTATAGTTCAGCATAGACAAGTCTCTTCTCTGCCTAGAAGCAGGTTTTGTTAAGGGCATAGGAAGCAAGCAATAGGATATTAAACCTCCAGAGGAGAATGAAGCAAGTTGGCAAGCTGAATGTAAACTGTTCCCCAAACTAGTATTTCTCCAATTGTAGTCTCTAGAGCAGCAGCACCAGCACCTCCTAGGAGGTTGTTAGACATGCACATTCTGGCGGGTTACAGTGGCTCACACCTGTAATCCCAACACTTTGGGAGGCTGAGGTGGGAGGATCTTGAGCCCAGGAATTCAGGACCGGCCTAGGCAATATAGTGAGACCCCATCTCCATAAAACAAATAAATAAATAAGTGCAAATTCTCAGGCACCATCCTAGAATCAGAGTATTGGGGGAAGGGGAGAGGGAACTCAAATTCTGTGATTCTGAGAATCTGAGATCAATGAGAATTTCAGATTCAGTGATTCTCATTGCCCACAAAAGTTTGAGCATAGTTGTTCCAAATTATTCATGGTTTGCCTAGCTGATACTGGGTAATAATAAACCAGATCTCCTCGGAGGGGGCATCCCTCAAGCCCACTGGAGATTTAGAAGGTTTACCATCAGCGTTGTGTTGATGAAAACGTTAATACACTGCATTTTAAGGGGCTGAAGACACAGTGCTAAGGAAGGTGAGTTTTCTTCCTCACTGCTCCTGATTGTGCCACAGAAATCCCCGTTGACCCTCATAAGTCATTTCCTAACCTTAAGCCCCACGTCACCCAAAAAACATTTTCACAGTCCTCTACATTGAACCCCACGTCTTACCTGGACCTCCTATCCTTTCCAAGTACGCACACAGTAAAATGTGCTTTAGGAATGAAGACAGAGACTGAATTTTGTTTGCAAGTTAATATAACAAGTATGCCAGGCTCACGATGATTTTTGTTACCAGATTACCATTTATCTTTCTATTAATGTGTCAACCTAAAAGGAAGAAGCTGAAACAAAATTAATATAGAGTGTTTATCTGGGCCAAGGTTGAGGACTGCAGCCCAGGACACATTTCCAAGTTGCCTTGGGATGTGCTCCAGAGAACAAAATAGAGGCTCAAATGTTTAAAGAAAAAAGAATGAATCAGAAGAGGGGGCGATTACAAAAGCTGTTGGTCAGGAATTGTCATTGATTTTCAGAAATAACATTGGTTAGCAATTGGCTGTATGTTGTTGAACTATAGGGTGGATGGCTTTTTTTTTTTTTTTTTTTTTTTTTTGAGACGGTCTCACGCTGTCGCCCAGGCTGGAGTGCAGTGGCGGGATCTCAGCTCACTGCAAGCTCCGCCTCCCGGGTTTGCGCCATTCTCCTGCCTCAGCCTCCCGAGCAGCTGGGACTACAGGCGCCCGCCACTTCGCCCAGCTATTTTTTGTATTTTTTAGTAGAGACGGAGTTTCACTGTGTTAGCCAGGATGGTCTCGATCTCCTGACCTCGTGATCCGCCCGTCTCGGCCTCCCAAAGTGCTGGGATTACAGGCTTGAGCCACCGCACCCGGCGGGTGGATGGCTTTTTATGGCTGTTTGGTGGCAGCCTAGAGCCCACATAGTAAGTGGAGGTAATTATTTAGCTCCAGGGGGAGTGAGAAATGACTGCTATTATATTTTAAATGCCTTTCTGGGCATGATCATTTAAAGGGGCTCACATTCCTCAGATAAATTTTTTTTTTCATTTGTAACATTTTTGTGATTACTTTTTAGATCATTCTTTGCTTTTAGTGATGTCAGATTCTTAAAAATGTTCTTAAATTATTTCTGAGAGCAAAATTCTAAAGGACGATAAAAATGTTTAAAAATTATTTTTAAAAGATTCAATATTAGAGTTGACAAATTCAGACCTAGAGTTGATCCCAAGCTCTGGCTTATGGGTTTAGCAAGTTTCCCCCACTTCTTACTTTTTTTCTTTTTTTTTGTCCTTTTCCCTTACAGGAACTCAAAAATGAAACCTGGGAATATTCCTCCTCTGTGATGTCTTTTGTTAATGGTCAGTTCCTGGGTGATGCATTGGGTCTACAGAAATGGGCCCACGAGGTGTGGGATATAGTTGACATTAAACCCTCTGCACTTTATGATGCACTCACTGAGGATTTTTCCACAAAATTCTTAAGAGATACCAAGGCAAGTTATACTAATTTTTAAAGAAAAGTCATGGAATCTTTGACCCTTTATATTGATTCAGCATTAATCATTGATATCCTCACGAAGGAGATTGTAAAAAAGTAGGCGACCAAGTTTAAAGCCTAGTTTCATTTCCATTTGCAAAAGATGATAATATGGTGGTATGTAAAGCAAGTGTGCCTCACAGCACCTGGGCTGCACAGGGAAATCGTCTCTGTGCAGACATTTCTACTTCCCATTAGAGATTTATGTGCATGAATAATCTATTTGAAAATGCAAAGACCACCCCCTCAGAGAAGGTAAAACCTACCATCCATTTATCTTGAGTGTGAAATATTTAAATTAAGACTGTCCAACATCTAGGCAAGAGCTACTGAGCTAAGACAATGGAAAGTTGGTTGAAGAAAGGTGACATTTGAAAGCATGAACACAGGCTGGGTGCGGTATCTCATGCCTGTAATCCCAGCACTTTGGGAGGCCGAGGCAGGCGGATCACAAGGTCAAGAGATCAAGACCATCCTGGCCAACATGGTGAAATGCTGTCTCTACTAAAAATACAAAAATTAGCTGGGCGTGGTGGTGTGTGCCTGTAATCCCAGCTACTCGGGAGGCCGAGGCAGAAGAATCGCTTAAACCTGGGAGGTGGAGGTTGCAGTGAGCCGAGATCGCGCCACTGCACTCCAGCCTGGTGCAGAGCAAGACTCCATCTCAAAAAAAAACCAAAAAACAACAAACAGAAAGAAATATTATGTCTTTCTTTCTTTTTCTTTCTTCCTTCCAGCCTGGGCGACGGAGCGAGACTCCGTCTCAAAAAAAAAAAAAAAAAAAAAAAGCATGAACACATAGTTGGCAAGAGCAAGCCCAGACAGGCTGTGCCAGTGGGGAGGTTTCCAGTGGCAGGGGATAGTCATGAAGCTTGAGGTCCAGGGGTGAGAGATAGCTATCAGGAAGCGATGGCAATAGGGGTGGAGGGACTTTGCAGTTCTGCTCAGAAACCTTCTGGTAGCAACATCTTCATTGTGCAGAAAATCATTTCATTCCCATGGCAGCCTGTGCCCACAGTGAACCAGTGCTAAGATCTGAGCTGTGCAAAGGCAAAGGCCTTGTCTCATTCATCCTTGTTGAACCACTGCTCAAACAGACCTGAAACATAATAGGTGCTCAGTGCATGTTTGATTGAATAAACAGTGCACTTTGAAAATACTGGAAACTCTGGGGTGTGGGGAGGCATTTCATGTTCAAACCGTTAATTCCCAAAGGGTCAGGAGTCTAGCAGTACATGCCCTGGGAATGGCAGGGGGACAGCAAGGAGGCCAGAATTTGTGGGGAATGAAGCTGGGAAGATGAGTTTCAGTCAAGATTCTTGGTGCCAGCATTACCAGACTCCTCAGATTGATTGAAGGTGAAAAGGTGTGTATTGAAAGGATGCTGTTATCTCACAATTAACAGGAAAGCTGGACAACAGCTTTGGAAAACAGGTGGGAACCAACGAGGCCTGGCAGCAGGAAGACATGGCCAGAGTCACACTGCAGGGATGTGCTGCCAGGGAACTGCCATGGCACCGCTGGCCTTTGTTCACACCGCCACCTTCAACGAGATTAACTGTTCGATGCTTCATTGTCTTTTCATCACTCTCTGGAGACCCTAAGCCCAGGCAGGAACACCTAGCTGGCAAGCCTAGGTCATATTTCCAAACTCTGGTGCTCTCAGCATGGGGAGAGGGAGAATCTGGCCTCTTTAGGGTCTAGTGAAGGTGGTGGGACCCTGTGAGGAGTTCCCCAGATAGGAAGGGTACTCAGATTTTAATTAGGAAAAAAAATCCAATAGATCCTAAAGAAAATTTGAGGCTGGATTATGATTTATTGTCCATCTGAACGAAGGAGTTAGATTTTATCCACAAGGAAACAGAACTTTATGGAAACAGAACTTTCCATAAAGAGTGTGATATAATCCTCTTTGCTTTTCTGGAGAAATGTTTAGGTCTGTGCAGATGCAGGCTGGAGTAGGGGAGAGCTTGGGAGCAGGAGATTGGATAGCAACATGGGTTAGACTTAATGAAAGCCAGAAATATTTCATGGCAGTGAGGATAAAGGATAGTCATGAAGCATTCCAGAGACAATCCTTAGATTTTTTCACATAGAGAGTGGACTTTTGTTGCTGAATAAAACCCAGGATTTGTTTACTTCCAGTTAGAACCATGTGGTAGATAAATATGCTTGCCTGTTTGGCTGCTAGGTGACTGGGACATTGCCTTGTGTTGCATTCATTTGAACTCTTTTATTGGCGTTTTCAGGATTATCTATTCTGGACTACCTCATAAAGATAATATCTTGATGCACGGGGAAGTTCAGTGGTGTCTGAATGGACTGTAAGTCCATTTCCTAAGTCAACCACGATTTCCAATATATCCTCTTTATCCTCCTGAGCCTCTGAAGTTTAATATATTATGCCTCCTATTCTTTAGTTACACTGTTCTGTTTTATACTTAAAAACTTGTAGTACAGAAGCTGAGAGGCACAAATTAATTCTAATTAGTATGGATGGAACATTTCATTGCTAGATGCCAGATGGCACAATATTATTTCAGTCTTTTCATTAAAAGAAAAGTTAGAGTGACATAAAAAATATGATATATTTAATTTCATTTGTTTCCTAAATTCTTAAGAAAGAGGACAGGACAAGTTATGCACCTTGCTCAATAAGGTGGCTTTTTTTTTTTTTTTTAATAGAGTCTCACTCTGTTGCCCAGGCTGGAGTGCAGTGGCACGATCATAGCTCACTGCAGCCTCAACCTCCCTGGGCTCAGGTGATCCTATTGCCTTAGCCTCCCAAGTAGCTGGGACTACAGACACATGCCACCATGCCCAGCTAATTTCTTAATTTTTTTATAAAGACAGAGTCTCCCTCTGTTGCCCAGGCTGATTTCAAACTCCTGGGCTCAAGCGAGCCACCTACCTTGGCCTTCTAAAGTGCTGGGATTACAGGCATGAGCCAAGGTGGCATTTTAATGTAGGAGATTGGTGCCCAAGATTTGAAATGTACTCCATTAAATGTGCTTTGGCCCCTAAATGAATGCTATTGTGTTGAAACTAGCATTTTCATTTTGAATGCCTCTTTATAGGGCTAGACAAGGTCTCACAGATGTTTTTCTCTACCAGAAAGGATATCAAGTGAAGACAAGCTGGGGGCGTCTGTGCACGTGAGGGTATTACTGTATGTAACTTGAAAGCCCAGCATCCTTCTCTTCCCTATCTCTGGTGCTACACCTGCTATGGATGTAGGGACCTGATTTTCCCACTCAGAACAGATGTGGCCTGGCTCTGGTTAGCTCTGGTTAGAGCTAATCTGTGCTGTCTCTGAAAATCCAGGACGCACAGTAACCAAATCCATGGTGTTCATGATGGATCCTTCCCAAAAATATTCAGGAAAGAAGAGAAGTAGAGAAGAATCCCTGGGCTGTTTTCTTCCCCACACTAGGTGTGGCTATTTCCACACCTAGTTGTAATGTGGTAGATAGCTTGGCCATGTGTTTCACTCCTATGAGATAGGTTAATGTTTTCCAGAACTTTCACTACTGAACGGTTTTAAAAATGTGTAGTGTTGGGTAGGTGTGGCGGTGGCTCATGCCTGTAATTCCAGCACTTTGGGAGGCCAAGGTAGGCGATCCCTTGAGCTCAGGAGTTCGAGACCAGCCTGGGCAACGTGGTGAAATCCCAGCTCAACCAAAAATACAAAAATTAGCTAGGCCTGGTAGTGGTGCATGTGTGTAGTTCCAGCTACTTGGGAGGCTGAGGTGGGAGGATCACTTGAGCCCAGGAGGTTGAGGCTGCAATGAGCCGAGATGGTACCACTGCACCCCAGCCTGGGGGCAGAGCCAGACCCTGTCTCAAAAATAAATAAATAAATACAATAGTAAAAATTAAAATGTGTAAAGTGGGTTGTAAAAACTCAATAAAATGAAATAAACTAATACAAGTCATTCACTTAATTTTACTGTAATATTATCCAATGGTAATGTTATTGAAATCTTACTAAAAATATTGCATCTGCTATATTTTTGGTCATTTCTAAAAACTTTCTTATAAGACTTTGACCTTCATTATATGTTTCTTCTTAATCTTCACAGCATGATTTTGTGTTTTTGGACATTTGTGTTGATTCTTCTCCAATTGGAAGATTGATTTTTGAGGTAAGACCTTTTTTTTTTTAAAATAAGTTTGTGGGGGTAGGATCTATAACTGTTGGAGTGTTAAATATTTAATCTTCGAAACCTTTTGTCTTTATTTTGTAGCTATACTGTGATGTATGTCCCAAAACATGTAAGAATTTTCAGGTCTTGTGCACAGGAAAAGCAGGGTTTTCTCAACGTGGCATAAGACTACATTACAAAGATTCCATTTTTCATCGAATAGTACGGAATGGCTGGATACAAGGAGGGGGTAAGTTTAAAATGTTAAATACAACTTAATTGCAATATCAAATGAGAAGGTCCAAACTTTTGTTTATCTTTATGAAATGTATGTAGAATTAGATATACTTAAAATTAGACATATTTAAAGAATAATTATGCTTTATATAGCCAAATAATGAAGTAAGATATTTGTATTCTTTAAAAAACACTCTAATTATTAAAATAAGTAAATCTAATTTATGTTACCAGGAATATTCCAAATTCAAAAATGACATAAGAGAGTAGGGTGACATTGTATTTTACCAACTTTATTTTCACCAATTTTAAATGCTTACCTAAATACATAATACCTAGAAGTACAGTTTTAATAAGAGTGGGAATTTGAAAATATAATAAATGGAAAACAACTTATTTCTCACCAAACATGTTACATTATTACACATAAAAAGTAATGTCTAGGCCGGGCGCGGTGGCTCACGCCTGTAATCCCAGCACTTTGGGAGGCCGAGGCGGGCGGATCACAAGGTCAGGAGATCGAGACCACGGTGAAACCCCGTCTCTACTCAAAATACAAAAAATTAGCCGGGCGCCGTGGCGGGCGCCTGTAGTCCCAGCTACTCAGGAGGCTGAGGCAGGAGAATGGCGTGAACCCGGGAGGCAGAGCTTGCAGTGAGCCGAGATCGTGCCACTGCATTCCAGCCTGGGCGACCAAGGTAAAATTGTGGCTCTAAAAAAAAAAAAAAAAAAAAAAGTAATGTCTCAAGGAGTTTGGTTTCTATGTTCGCTTTCTTTTCAGGTCAGTCCTTTGGTTTTACATAGACTAGGTGTCTGATTAAAAGCATGGAATTAAATTTTGGGTGCCTTTTGGGGGATATTCCATAGGGAGCAACCAGGCAGCAATTTACAAATAATTGGCTTAGTGTCAAAGGAGATTTGCTTGAATTTGATGACGCATTGAGAAGCTTAAATTGGTGTTGACCATTTTTTGTATGATCTGGAACATTCTGATGCTGATGAGGAGAAAAATAGAGATATATTCTGAGCATCCTGCATGTTAAATCAAGTTATTTTCCCTTTGGTTTCTCCACAATGAGATTATACCGCAAGTATTGTTATCTAACCTCACTTTCAAGTGTTTTTCCATTTTGTGTCTTTCCACTGAATATGTGGTATCGATCTAACTATGCCAATGAACATAAACATACAAAATGTTTAGCGTCTGCCTAGTTTTTTTTTTTTTTTATCATATTGCTATACCAGTTTAATTAATTTCCCATTGGTGAACATTTAGATGGTTTCCCATTTTTTGTTAATATAAAACATATCTCAAGGGGGCCCGTTAATATTAGGGGCTCCTGACACTGAGTTCAGTGTTGACTCTCATGTGCTAGGCTTTCAGATGCTGTGTTCTTTTTTTTTTTTTTTTTTTTTTTTGAGACGGAATCTCACTCTGTCGCCCAGGCTGTAGTGCAGTGGCACGATCTCGGCCCACTTCAAGCTCCACCTCCCGGGTTCAAGCAGTTCTCCCTGCCTCAGCCTCTGTAGTAGCCGGGATTACAGGGGACCACCCCCACACTCGGCTAATTTTTCTATTTTTTTAGTAGAGACAGGTTTTGCCAGGTTGGTCAGGCTGGTCTTGAACTCCTGACCTCAGGTGATCCGCCCGCCTCAGCCTCCCAAAGTGCTGAGATTACAGGCATGAGCCACCACACCCAGCCTCAGATGCTGCATTCTTTTGTTTCGTTTTATTTTTGTTTTTGCTTAGCTCCCACCACCCTTGCAAGATCTGGGAAAAGTAGGTCGTATTATTTGTTTGTGTTTTTATTTATTTAAAGTAAAATTTCCAAATAGTACAGAGCCCAGGTCTTGGGTCATGTTTTCAAACAGTGAGGCAACAATGTTAAGGATGGCTTAGGAAAAAGTGGGATTGCTAGATTCAAAGCCAAGCTCTGATTCATGTAAGTTATACCATCTTGGATATGCCACTGAACCTCTCTGAATCAGTTGCTTATTCATAAAATGGGGATAATGATAAGAATATCACAGGATGTGGTGAGGATTCAATGACCTGGTGTGTTGAAAGTGCCAAGCTCTGGAAACATCCTCTCTCCCTACAGATGTCCAGTTTCCACGATCCAGACCCCAAGAGAGGGTTCCTGAATCTCTCACAAGAAAGAATTCAGGGCGAGTTTGTTGAGTAAAGTGTAAGTAAGTTTATTAGGAAAGTAAAGGAACAGAAGAATGGCTACTCTGAAGGCACAGCAGCCCCCGAGGTCTGCTGGTTGCCCAGTTTTGTGGCTATTTTTTGATTATATGCTAAAGGTGGATTATTCATGCTTCCCTTTTTGAGACCATGTAGGGTAACTTCCTGACATTGCCATGGCATTTTTAAACTGTCATGGCACTAATGGGAGTATAGCAGTGAGGACGACCAGAGGTCACTCTCATCGCCATCTTGGTTTTGGTGGGTTTTAGCTGGCTTCTTTACTGCAGCCTGTTTTATCAGAAGGTCTTTATGACCTGTGTCTTGTGCCGACCTCCTATCTAATCCTGTGACTCAGAATGCAATAACCATCTGGGAATGCAGCCCAGTAGGTCTCAGCCTCATTTTACCCAGCTCCTATTCAAGATGAAGTTGCTCTGGGTCACATGCCTTTGATACCACGGGACTATGTAGAATGTTGGAGGGCAGGAGCTAAATGTGGTTTTGTGCTGTGCTTTAGGATGCCTCCAGGCACTGTTGCTTGCCCTTTGGGACTAACAGGCTCTACCCAGTGGACACTGCCTGTCCCTTCTCCCCACAACTTATCTTCTGACATCTTACACACTCTGTTGCACACACGGGCTCTGGCTGCCGCCTAAGCACATCAAGCATACGTGGGTCCTGAGGCCTCGTTTATTTTGCCTGGGGCACACACCACCCAACCTGTTCCTGCAGGTATCCCTTGTTTCTGATTATTGCCCAGAGTTTATCTCAGCAAGGCCTTACCGTCCCATCCTATATGAAACTGCCATCTTTCTCTCCACATACTCTGCTCACCCCTCCTTCCACCCTCCTACTCCTTACCTTGCTTTATCCTTCTTCCTAGCACTTTTCATCATTAGACATACTACCATCTGTTTCTGAGTTCATTTGTTTATTGTCTGTTCCTCTAAATTCCATGGGGGCAGAAATTTTTATCTATTTTATTCACTATGGTATCCCAGGTACTACAACAGTGTTTGAGATATAGTAGGTGCTTAATAAATACTTGTAGAAAGAAAAGAAGGAAGAAAGACAGAGAAAGAAGGAAAATAGATGGTTAAACAGGAAACATACATTCTCTGCATTTTGAAAGTCCAAAGTTAAGATAGCAAGTCGTTCTACCACTTTGGTTGGATTCTCCCTTGGGCTCCCTCGAGGCCTACTTCCTTCAGAAGGATTAAAAAAAGTCGGCCGGGCACGGTGGCTCGCGCCTGTAATTTGGGAGCACTTTGGGAGGCCGAGGCGGGCGGATCACGAGGTCAGGAGATCAAGACCATCCTGGCTAACATGGTGAAACCCCATCTCTACTAAAAATACAAAAAATCAGCCGGGCGTGGTGGCGGGTGCCTGTAGTCCCAGCTACTCCGGAGGCTGAGGCAGGAGAATGGCGTGAACCCGGGAGGCGGAGCTTGCAGTGAGCCGAGATTGCACCACTGTACTCCAGCCTGGGTGACAGAGCGAGACTCCGTCTCAAAAAAAAAAAAAAAAAAATCAACACCAACTCTTTGTTAATCAAAGAAAATGAAACAAACTCTTTTACACAAAAATGATCATGTTTTACATAAGACTAAAAGATATATATATATATATATAAAATGGGCGAGGATATCCAGAACCCACCAAATAATTCCAGTAAGAAAATTCAAGCACTTAACAAAGATTCGTTTTTCAATAGCCCATTAGTCACAGAACAATTACCCAACTATTAACAATTAAACCTACCTATATATTAGAAATACATTTCATTTCACCCATACATCCAACACACTTTAAAATGGATAGAGGAAAATTTTATTAACTGGCTTTAGAAAAAAAAAGTACCTATTGAACTCATATATTATATTATTATTATTATGTTGAGACAGAGTCACGCTTCGTCATCCAGGCTGAATTACATGGCACCATCTCAGCTTACTGCAACCTCCACCTCTGGGGTTCAAGTGATCCTCCTGCCTCAGCCTCCCAAGTAGCTGGGATACAGGCAAGCTCCACCATGCCCAGCTAACTTTTTGTATTTTTAGTAGAGATGGGGTTTCACCATTTTGGCCAGACTGGTCTTGAACTCCCAACCTCAAGTGATCTGCCCACCTCGGCCTCCCAAAGTGCTGGGATTACAGGCGTGAGCCACCGTGCCCGGCTGAACTCATGTATTATTGCTTAAAGAAAACATACTGAATTCTTACCTCAGCTTTCCCTTGTAAAAAAAAGTGGAAATCCATAGTCCAGAGATTCTCTTTAAGAATGAGCGTTGCTATGGTGTGAGTTGGCTGAAGGTAAAGAGATATGAATGAAAGTAGTAAAAACAAATAAAAACAGAATGAGCTGCTTTGATAAGCGCAGTATGTTTATAACTCATAAAACATTTCATTCATGTTGTGAATTTTCTCGAGCATTACAAAATAATTAATATGCTTCAGGCTTTCCATTTGACTTACATCTATAGGATTTCTTTCCAGTACGAGTTTTCACACGACTTTTAAATTAATGGTCTAAATGAACTTTTCTGTGTTTTTCTAACTACTAGGGTTCTAATCAAGTATGTGTTTTTATATTTATAAGGTCCACCTCCAGTGTGTATTATTATGTGACTTTGAATGTATTCGAGAGAAATGAAGGCATTCCCACATTCTTTTTTTTGAGACAGGGTCTTGTTCTGTTGCTCAGGCTGAGAGCAGTGGCACAATCACAGCTCACTGCAGCCTCAACCTCCCGGACTCAAGTGATCTTCCCACCTCAGCTTCCCAAGTAGCTGGAATTACAGGCACACATTACCATGCCTGGCAAATTAAAAAAAATTTTTTGTAAAGAGAGGGTCTCTCTATGTTGCCCAGGCTGGTCCTGAACTCCTGGACTCAAAGACTCAATCCTCTTGCCTCAGCCCTACCAAAGTGTTGGGAATATAGGCATGGGTCTTAGCCTATCACCCAGGCTGGAATGCAATGGCATGATCATAGGTCTCACTGCAGCCTTGAACTCCTCCCACTTCAGCCTCTCAAGTAGCAGGGATTACCAGCACATGCCACCATGACCAGCTAATTTTTAAAAATTTCTGTAGGCTGAGCACGGTGGCTCACACTTGTAATTCCAGCACTTTGGGAGGCCAAGGCAGGTGGATCATGAGGTCAGGAGTTTGAGACCAGCCTGGCCAATATGGTGAAGCCCCATCTCTACTAAAAATACAAAAATTAGCTGGGCGTGGTGGCACGTGCCTGTAGTCCTAGCTGCTCAGGAGGCTGAGGCAGGAGAATTGGTTGAACCCGAGTGGCGGAGGTTGCAGTGAGCCAAGATGGTGCCATTGCACTCCAGCCTGGGCAACAGATCAAGACTCTGTCTCGAAAAAAAAAAAAAATTTGTAGAGACAGGGTCTCACTATACTGCCCAGGCTGGTCTTGAACTCGTGGCCTCAAACAACCCTCCCACCTCGGCCTCCCAAAGTGCTGGGATTACAGGCATGAGCCACCGTACCTGGCCACATTCTGTACATTCAGAGCTCTTCTCCAGAATGAGTTGTTTTATATTATCAAATAGAACTAGAACACCAAAGGCCCTTACCACATTTCCTCTATTCATAAGACATTTCTTCAGTGTGAGTTCAGAAGGATCTTTTGAGATAAATTTAATGCATTTTATTATCATCATCATCATATTGAACAGAATGATGAAGATGATGATAATGAGAGGGGGCATTCTAGAAGCATGTGATGCTACATGGGCATGACATTCTGCCAGGCACTGCCCGAGTGCTCTACCTGTGTTATTTCATTTCATCCTCAGAGCTACCTGTGAGGCAGTTACCATTATCCCTGTTTATACAGATAAGCAAACAGTCTTGGAAAAAGTAACCAACATCAACATTTTCATCAAAATCATCTGACTTTAAAGTTTGCTTAAACCAGTATTCGGCACTCTGAATTTGTTGTCAGAAGTATAGCAATAATATCAGATATACAGGGCTGAATTCAAGAGGGTGGACTGTGGCCACAAAAAAAGAATAGTAAATACAGATTGAAATGGTGTCAATATAAAATATTCACCTATGAGATCTGAAGCAGAGGACAAGAGTAATGTTGGTGAGTGTGGGAGGGAGGGGGTAAAGGAATGTGACCAATGGGTAGGTAAGTTGGCAGGGGAGAAGACCACCTGGGCGGAGTTCCCTGAGAGAACCAACCCCTAGGATCTGAAGGAATTGATGAGGGGGGGCCCTCAGCTTCCCCATTTCCAGATTTAGCCTTCAGCCATGACAGCTTCCTGTCGAGAGTTGCCTGGGGCTGTGTAGTGAACTGTGGCTGAGTGTTAGGTGAGTCGGGGTGGAGACTTAATAAGGCTTATCAATTAACTTCTGAGCCAGCTTTCGAAATAGTATAATTTAAATGCTGCATGGCCTTTCTGGGATAAATTCTTTTTACATGCTTGATGTTGCATCAGTTTTCTTTGAAAAATAGCACACACACTTTTATTATAGATAAATTGCTCATACTGACTTTAAAAAGCGTAGTCCATCAATAAACATTTATTGAGCACTGTATTAAAGGAGGGAGCGGAGTAGAGCTGAAGTTCGTAGAGAGGTACTGATGGGGAGGATGGGGGAGAGAGGACAGACCTCAGAGCCCACTCTTTTCACTAGAGTTAGCTTTGCTCCTCTTTTAGCTGTGGATAGATAAAAAATAACTTGTTCATGGAGTCTTTTTATAGTGGGAGCATTGCCTAAACCAAAATATGCATAGCATGTGAACACCTGAAAAAAAACTTGTTACATTATAGGAAACTTTATTTCCAATACACTAGGTAAATAAATGAGTTATCACTACAGGATATGAAATTTTGAACATGAATTCTGTTTGCAGCATGTATTTTTTATTCATATTCTTTTTTTCTTTTCCTTTTTTTGAGATGGAGTCTTGCTCTGTCACCCGAGCTGGAGTGCAGTGGCGCGATCTTGGCTCACTGCAAGCTCCACCTCCTGGGTTTAAGCGATTCTCCTGCCTCAGCCTCCCGAGTAGCTGGGATTACAGGCACCAGCCACCACACCCAGCTAATTTTTGTATTTTTGGTAGAGACAGGTTTCACCATGTTGGCCAGGCTGGTCTCAAACTCCTGGCCTCAAGTGATTTGCCTGCTTCGGCCTCCCAAAATGCTGGGATTACAGGTGTGAGTCGCCGCGCCCGGCTCCATTTTTTATACATATTCTAAAAATAACTTACTTTTCCTGTTTTAGCCTCTTAGTTTAATCTTAATTTCAGAAAAGCACGATGGACTGTGGAATAATTTATGAAGTAAGCAGGATTTATGTGAACATACTTTTGAAAAATTGTGGCCACAATTATAATTTAATGCTTCATCCTTTCAAAAGTTTGCATTGTGAATGTAAAAGTGCTTACAAAATACAAGTGAAATTATTATAGTAATTTTTCGTAGTATGGATATTGAACAATTAGGTAACTTTATTCATTGGTATAAGTGGAATCATATTGTATTCTTTTTTTTTTTTTTTTGAGATGGAGTTTCACTCTTGTTGCTCAGGCTGGAATGCAACGGCGCAATCTCGGCTCACTGCAACCTCCGCCTCCTGAGTTCAAGCAATTCTCCTGCATCAGCCTCCCTAGTAGCTGGGATTACAGGCACATGCCACCATGCCCAGCTAATTTTTGTATTTTTAGTAGAGACGGGGTTTCACTGTGTTGGCCAGGCTGGTTTCGAACTCCTGGCCTCAGGTGATCTGCCTACTTCGGCTTCCCAAAGTGCTGGGATTATAGGCATAAGCTACCATACCTGGCTGATTCCTTTTTTTTTTTTTTTTTTTAAATGGAGATAGAGTCTCATTATGTTGCTCAGGCTGGTCTCAAACTCCTGGGCTCCAGTGATCATCCCACCTCAGCCTTGGAATCATCATTTAAAGCAACATTTTTTCCCTGTCATTACTGCATCCTAAATCTTTTCGTCTCAAAAGTCTAATGTTTATTTATTGCTATTTCTCAGATATAGTGTATGGAAAAGGAGATAATGGAGAGTCGATTTATGGACCAACATTTGAAGGTATGTATCTTTACATTTTGTTAGTTATATATTAGTTGATTATTCAAACTTAACAGGACTGGACAGTTTCACGATTCCAGATAAGATATCACTGGGGGCAATACTTAACAGTAAAAGCAAGAGTTAAAAATGAGCAGATTGGGGGGAAGCACCCTAAGGCCCGACCAGAGCAGCTTCATATGCACACATTTTTTTCACTTACCTAATGATATTATTTCTTCAGGATAAATCCCAGAATTAGGATTGTAGAGTCAAAGGGAATTTATATTTTTAGGGCTTGTAATTTTCCGTGCTGATACTTAGAACTGGTACCTTGATAATCATTCTATTTAGATTGCTGTCAGGTAGCCAGGTATTGTGACTCACGCCTATAATCCCAGCACTTTGGGAGGCTGAGGTGGGCGGATCATTTGAGGTCAGGAGTTCGAGATCAGCCTGGCTAATATGGTGAAACTCCGTCTCTACTAAAAATACAAAAATTAGCCAGGCATGATGGCGCAGGCCTCCCAGCTCCTCAGGAGGCTGAGGCAGGAGAATCACTTGAACCTGGAACACAGAGGTTGCAATGAGCTGAGATGGTGCCACTGCACTCCAGCCTGGGCGACAGAGTGAGACTCAGTCTCAAAAAAAAAAGAAAAGATTGCTGTCGGTAGAAAAATCCTGTATAACATTTACAACAAAAGTAGGTGACAAGGAATCTACCTAAATTCCAAAATACAAACAGGTAAAGACAAACAACAAACCAACAGTGTGGAAGAGGGCAGGGCTTCCCAAGAATAGGGCACTTAGGATCCCCTAAGTAGCCAATAGTGTGTGAGTACAAGGGTCCCCCAGGAAGGTTGGAAGAGGCAGGAGCAGTCTAACCCCTGTACACTCTCAAAACTGATCTGACAAGGCTCTCTTCTAGGACAGTCTCCCATGCAGGTGGAACTGCTGGGAATGGCATCAAAATTAACCAGGATACAGGGACAATCATGACAAAGAGGGAATAGGAACAGAGCCAGAAATTTAAGGAAGAAAGCCACATGCTTCAACATGCAAGATTTTCAACATGCAAGAGGGAGCTTTTTGAAACTAGAAAATCTACGTTCTTTCTAAAGACATATCCTCTGATATTTAGAAAAACTAATGTCACCCTATATAACAAAGAGAGGTTCTCTGAAAGAAAATGATGTTTCTTCAGGAATAGGGCATTGCAGTAGGCATACGTGTGCCGTAGGAAACGATGTGCATATTCAGGAAGGTAAAGGGAGAGAAAGGGTTTTAAAGGAAAATTGGGGAAGATTTCATTATTGTTTTGAAATTATTATCCTTGGCTACAGCGATCAGTAACAAGGGTCCAAGGTTGGACTGGACAGGTGTCCCTGCAGAAGTATTAATATTTCCTGCATAAGGTTGCAATGGCCTTTATGCAAGGTTGTGGCTTTTGTAGTTCTTTGTGATTGTTTTGTTACCAGGCATACAAGTGTGAGAGTTCTCTGTTCATAGCTTTCCTTGGCTCTATTTGTCAGCGTTTTTTAAACACACATGAGTACATTTTGATTCTGACCACTGTTACACTAATTTTATATTAAAATGAACAATGGAAGTTTCAAGGTGATTATAAGAATAAAGAGAATAAGGAGCAGAGTAACATCAGCACTGATAATGAATGTACCCTAGAAAGACATGCTCAAAGGATACAGTTGACCCTGGAGCAACATGGATTTGAACTGTACGAGTCCACTTAAAGAAACTTACAGTGTCTTTAAAAAAAAAAAAAATAGAGACAGGGTCTCACTATGTTCCCCAAGCTGGACTTGAACTCCTGGGCTCAAGCAGTCTTCCCACCTTAGCCTCCTGAGTAGGTGGGACTGCTGCCTACTTGGACTACCACCTAGCTTGGCTTGTTTTCAATAAATATATGAGAGCATTTTTTGGAGACGCTGCCACTGCAGCTATACCATCAGGTGTGAAAACCTTGCACTTTTTTGTGAAATACTTTTACCTTTTTTTTTTTTTTTTAAGAGACAGTGTCTCACTTTGTCGTCCAGACTAAAGTGCAATGGAGTGATCATAGCTCGTGGTAACATTAAACTCCTGGGCTCAAGGGATCTTCCTGCCTCAACCTCCCAGGTAACTAGGGCTACAGTTGCATGCCACCATGCTGGCTAATTAAAAAAGAAAAAAATTTATAGAGATGGGGTCTTGCTCTGTTGTCCAAGCTGGTCTCCAACTCCTGGGCTCAAGTGGTCCTCCTGAGTTGGCCTCCTGAGTCATTGGGATTACAAGTGTGAGCCACCACGCCTAGCCTGCAAAATACCTTTTTTGTCTTGTATTGAAAATGCAACTTTTATGTGGGCACAGGATGGCTATAAGAAAGGCAGAACTATAGACTCTAATATGATTTGAGAAAAAGCAAAGCTATTATATGACAACTTAAAACAAAAGGAAGGTAAAAGACCTAAAACTGGAGAATTTAATTCCAGCAAAAGATGGCTTGATAATTTTAGAAAAAAGTTTGGCTTTAAAAATGTCCAGATAACAGGAGAAGGAGCTTCTTCTGACCAAGAGGCAGAAGATGAATTCCAAGATGTCATTAACAAAATGAGAGGAAAAAGTATACCTACCTGAACAAGTTTTATGGCAGACAAAAGTGACCTATTCTGGAAAAAAAAAAAAAGCCACCAAAAGGCCGGGCGTGGTGGCTCACACCTGAAATCCCAGCACTTTGGGAGGCTGAGGCGGGCGGATCACCTGAAGTCAGGAGTTCAAGACTGGCCTGGCCAACATGGTGAAACCCTGTCTCTACTGAAAATATAAAACGTAGCCGAGTGTGATGGCAGGTGCCTGTAATCCCAGCTACTTGGAAGGCTGAGGCAGGAGAATCGCTGAACTCAGGAGACAAAGGTTGCAGTGAGCCGAGATCGCGCCATTGCACTTCAGCCTAGGAGAGAGAGTGACTCTTGTCTCAAAAAAAAAAAAAAAAAAGCCACAAAAGACATTTATGAGTAAGAGAAGTAAGCACTAGCATTTAAGGCAGAAAGGAATAGGCTAACTGTACTGTTTTGTGCCAATGCAGTTGGGTTTATGATCCAGACTACCCCTAACCATAAAGCTGCTAACCTAAACACACTGCCAGCCCTTTGGTTGTACAAAAAGGGCTGGACAATGAGAACCCTTTTTCTAGATTGGTTCCATCAATACTTTCTCCCTGAAGTTAGGAAGTACCTTGCCAGTAAGGGACTACCTTTTAAAAAGTTCTTTTGATATTGAATGATGATGCCCCTGGCCATCAGAACACCATGAGTTCAACACTGAAGGCATCAAAGTGGTCTACTCGCCCTCAAACACAACATGTCTAATTCAGCCTCTAGTTTGGGGGTCATAAGGACCTTTAAGGCTGATTACACATGATACTCTATGGAAAGGATTGTCAACATCATGGAAGAGAACCCCAATAGAGAGAACATCATGAAAGTCTGGAAGGATTATACCATTCAAGATGCCATTGTTGTTATAGAAAAAGCCATGAAAGCCATCAAGCTCAAAACAAGTTTCTGCTGGAGAAAATTGTGTCCAGATGTGCTTGTCTTCATGGGATTTATGACAGAGCCCATAAAGGAAATCATGAAAGAGATTTGTGGGTATAACCAAAAAGATGAGGGGTGAACATTGTCAAGATACGGATCTTGGAGAAATTCAGGGCCTAATATATACCACAGCAGAGGCATTAAAAGATGACTTGGTGGAGATGAGTGCCTCCGAACCAGTGCCAGATCATGAGGAAGAAGACATAGAAGAAGCAGTGTCAGGAACCAAATCAACACTAGACAATCTGGCGGAAGGGTTCCAGTTACTCAAGACTACTTTTGACTTCTTTTACAACATAGACCCTTTTATGATAAGAGCAATGAAACTAAAGCAAAGAGTGGAAGAAGGATTGATACTGTATGGAAACATTACTAGAGAAATGAAAAAGCAAAAAGTCAAACAGAAATTATAATGTATTTCCGTAAAGTTACACAGGTGTGCCTGCCTTTCCTGCCTCCCCTTCCACCTCATCCACCCCTGCCTCTGCCACCCCTGAGACAGCAAGACCAACTCCTTCTCTTCCTCCTCCTCGGCCTACTCAGTGTGACAAGGATGAAGACCATTAAGATGATCCACTTCCACTTAATGAATAGTAAATATATTTTCTCTTCCTTATGATTTTCTTTATAACATCTTATTTTCTTTAGCTTATTTTATTGTAAGGATACAGTATACAATACATATAGCACACCAAATATATGTAATCGACTGTTTATGTTACTGATAAGGCATCTAGTCCGTTGCAGACTATTAGTAGTTAAGTTACTGGGGAGTCAAAAGTTATATGTGGATTTTTGACTGCTCCAAGGGGTTGGTGTCCCTAACCCCCACATTGTTTAAGGGTCAACTGTAGATCAAAACTGTAACAGTCTATATCAAAATAAGCTAAAAGAAGCCTGGGCAACATGGCAAACCCTATCTCTACAAAAAATACAAAAATTAGCTGGGCATAGTGGTGCACACCTGTAATCCCAGCTACTCAGGAGACTGAGGTGGGAAGATCGCTTGAGCCTGGGAGGCAGAGGCTGCAGTGAGCCAAGATTGCACCACTGCACTCCAGCAAGCTAAAAGACATTAAGAAAATGACACAAGACATGAAAGAGGTCATAAATCAGAATTAGAAAAACTTAAACATGATGTGACAGAGCTGAGGAAAGAAGGGCTGAGGAAAGCAATGAAAGAAAAATAATTTCAGAAGTGAGTAAACCACAAGGAACACAAGAGGAAATAAAAATACAACATATGTCCTGAAAGAAGTACAAGGTAGGCAGAGGAATTTTTTTGTTTGCTTTAATTTTTGTGAGTACATAGTAGGTGTATATCTTTATGGGGTACTTGAGATATTTTGATACAGGCAAGCAATGCAAAATAATCACATCATGTAAAATAGGGTATCCATCTCCTCAAGCAGTTGTCCTGTGTGTTAC